TATTTGTTATATTTAACAAATAATCCAACAGACCCCTCACCCAACAACTGGACTGGGTGTCGGCATGTTTGTGAAGCCACAACTAACAACCAGAGGCAGAACGGGCAGATTATAGCAGCAAGGACACCTTAGCCAGATAAGAAAGCTTTTACGACCTAAACGAATGCAGTAAGAGTCTCCCTCTTACTTAACTACCTCTGAAACAGACATGCACTGCCCATAGAAACGGACTTCTTTCATTAATTCATAGACAAACCTTGCTATGAGTGAACATGTATACCCCAGGACATCGTGTGTATTATTACTGTTGTTGTATATTTGTTTTTGTATTGCATACTGTTTTATGCATGCGTCATGATAGAATTATTAGATAATGTAACCCTATTTGTACCATGCTGATATTAAAATAACCCTTGTTTGGTCCACTACACATTGATGGACATCACCTCCTCATAGCATGCAGTGTATTCTTGTTATGCTAATTCATAGCATGAAGGGACACAAACTGCCAGCACACTCTAATATACAAAACATACCTCTTTTCCACCAAAGCATGAGTGCTGGTTCGGAGCCAGAGCCTAGTTTCAAATCGGTTCTTCATCTTTCGACAGCCAAAGCACCAGCTCTGAACCAGGAAAAGTGGTTCGTAAGTAGCACCAAAACATTGCTGGTCTAGAAGTAAGAACCACTTGGTTACCGTGACCAACAAGACGAACAGAAACTTTTGACTGCCATTTCTGAAATAGCATCTAAACACAAACACGTTGAATTCGCCGTGTTTGGATGCCGATGTAACGTCCACCACTGTTGATTGTGTGTTTAGGCTTGTTGGGGGTGCATCGGACGGTGTGCTGCGGGAGTGATCGGAGAGCAGACGACTCTCTTTATGCTTTTGGATTGCTTTCGCTCTGAGACTGCTCTCGTGTTTGTTCCAGACCGTCAGCCTGTGCATTACTGCTGAGGATTTTACAGTGACTCCTTCAACCAATCGTCTAGAACTCTCTTCATTGGCAGAGCAAACACAAACTGTTGTATGTTCTACCTCCAACAATATAACAGTCCAAGCTGTAGATCTGTTTTCGAGTTAGAAACCAACGTCTTGACACACCAGATCCTGAACGTGTTGAACAAACAAGGGACTTTTCTGTACTTATTTATATACTTGTTTGTTAAACTTTCATATAAAGACAATATCACGCAAGCAAGAGTGCATTATGGCCGTATAACTCACTCTTGCTCGTGTGATATTGCTTTATTATGGTTCTAGCAGTCTAGATCAGATCACAGCTCGTCCCAAAGCCTAACTGAGACGAAACATCAAAAGTAAATGCTGTGAACTTGAATTCATTTTATTCACTCAGATTATCTCAATGCAATATGGCAGAGGTGTCCGATTCTGCTTCTGCAGAGTTGAGCTCTAGTCCCAAGTAAACACACTTCAACCAGCTAGTCAAGGTCTTCACTAGATCACTAGAAACTTCCAGAGGAGCAGGACTGGACTGGATATGTTCAACACTGGTAGAACGTGGCCATACGCTGAATGTGATTTCCCACATGCTATTTTTGATTTATCAAAACTCACTAATATCAGATGTTTCTGTCGACTGCTGTTGGTGAAGCGCTGGCTGATATCCTCACAGCACCGCTGATTGTGTTTGAAGGCTCAGATCAGCTCACATCCGCTATGTGTGGTTATAAAACTGGCATGTGAATTTGTGATCAGTGATATTAAATGCAAATGAAGTGTAGAAAACAATGACGCTGTACATCTCAGCCCTCTTTCTGCATGCTGTAACATTTCCACTGCTATGCTGCTTGAACAGCACTGTCTAGGGTTTGAAAATGGATGTGCAAAATCGCCAACACTGATCTGGCCATTTAATTGAGTAAAGTATTGTCAAATTGCACCAACATAACTCAGCTGCACATGTAGTGGGCTGTGAACGCTCCCCTATCATCGCAACACATTAATCCAGATTTGTGTTTTCCAGGCTGGTACAATCGTCTCTACATACACTTCACTCTTCGGCGTCACGTCTTCTTCTTCCTGCTGCAAACATATTTCCCAGCCACGCTGATGGTCATGCTGTCCTGGGTGTCGTTCTGGATCGACCGCAGAGCCGTGCCGGCGAGAGTCCCTCTCGGTAGGATAAAACCGCTCCACATGGACATGATCAAATATAACTGAACATTTATTAATAGAGAGATTATTCAGAGTGTGTTCAGTCTGAAAGGTGCAAGCAATGCTGAGATCATGGGTTTGATTCCCAGGGAAGGCATTGAAAGTCGCTTCGGATAAAAGCGTCTGCCAAATGAATAAATGTTTAATTTGGATGGAAACCCTGCTAAAAACCAGGTCGTGTCCTGTTTGTTCAGCTGTAACAGTCCTTAAAATCACGTGCAACCCATGCTTTCACACTCAGGCATCACGACGGTTCTCACGATGTCCACCATCATCACCGGAGTCAACGCCTCCATGCCCAGAGTCTCCTACATCAAAGCCGTGGACATTTACCTGTGGGTCAGCTTCGTCTTCGTCTTCCTCTCTGTCATCGAGTACGCGGCCGTCAATTACCTGACCACCATGCAGGAGCGCCGAGAGAGGAAGCTCAGGAATCAAGTAAGACCACTGTTTGCTCGTCTCTGATGCTGGTAAATTAAGACGATGAGAAGAGAGTGATGCCGCTGTATCATGTCTGTCTCTCCTGTGCTTACGTCTTGACGTTGCAGTTGCCTTGCACGTGTGGAATAGCAAACCCAGAGGACATGATGATGACCACGTGCTACAGTGACATGGATCCCAGCGCAGCGGGGACGTATGGGATGCCTGAGAACGGCGCGAGGCAGGAGCGGATCCTCGCCCAGCTGACCCTCGCCGACAGCCAGAGGACGAGTCGCGTGAAGACATCCCGGGGATACGTCAACGTCTGGATAGACATTCATGCCATAGACAAGTACTCGCGAGTGATCTTTCCCGCCGCTTACATGCTCTTCAACATCATCTACTGGTCCATCTACTCCTAACGCCACAGCGGATCTGTACCAGAACAGTCATCCACTGGGTCTCTCTGCCTTCTTGATCCAGGATCTTGAACTCTTCGTATTTTTAAGTGTTGTACATTTCTATTATGTTGAAATACGTGTTATTCGTCACAAATAAAAACAAGAAGCCACTGGTGTGAAATGTCTCAGAATCAGAGGACTGATCTGAGAAAAGCTGCCCGTTTAGAGGCCACACACATGACTTTCACATTTCTCCTTCAAGAATGAGTAAACATTAAGTTATTTTAATGCATGTATTTATCAGGGACGTCAATCAGTGAAAATCTTTTAATTGTTATATGCATAATGTTGTTGTGGTCACACATTAAGAAAACTAAATGGTAAGCTTATTGGGTTCGTCAGTTTGTGTGTGAATGTACAGCAGTGGCTCTTCACTCAAAACAATGCAACAACCATAAAACAGGTTTCTACACTCTTCATGGACATACAGGAGGATGCAGTCCTCCGCTGGCGTTCACATGAACCTTTCTGCACAATATTGATGTTTTCTATTGACAAGAATCTTTATAAACAACATCTAGCCTAAATTTACTAAAATAACTTCCTTGATAAATGCTTTTATAATGTAATTTTTCATTTTTAATATTACAAACTGTGCTGTGTTTTAATAAAATACATGTTAGGTATGATTAAAAAAGGCATAGTTTATTTTTATTCAACAGAGGGAAAAACAAACAATGCATATTGTATGATTCGGCATTGTGCATTACTCATCTGAACATAAGGATGATTTTAAACCTCAAATCTTTCTGAAATATACATGACCTTTGTTCCTTTCTTCTGCAGTCTAGTAATCTCTGGTAATCTATAGCGGCCTGCTAATGGATCGTGCCATTTGTGACGTGGAGGCTGGGCTGGGAAAGACCTGCGTGATTTATCTCATGGTTTACACTTCTATGATTGTTGTAGAATTTTATACATACCCAAAAATCATATAGACTTACTGTACCCCTCATTTATTTTCAAAACTAAATGATTTCAAATCTAACTTTAGCCTCTGATTTTCATCACATTAAACATAAATAAACAGCGTTTTCTTAAAGGGGTCATATGATGCTGCTAAAAAGAACATTATTTTGTGTATTTAGTGTAATGAAATGTGTTTATGCGGTTTAAAGTTCAAAAAACACATTATTTTCCACATACTGTACATTATTGTTTCTGTTTGTCGATTTTTACAAAGCTCATCGGTCTGAAAAGAGAAAGGAAAAATTTAAATCACATCATATGACCCCTTTAAGTTTCTTGTTTTAATAAGTGCTTGTTTCATTACACAAGCATACTGTGAGGATAGATTTATTCTATCATCGCAGTAGTTTGACTAGTTTCTTGTTTGCTCATTAGTGTGCATTTATTGTCTTTTTTCCAGTTTTGAATGTGACTTTTGTGTTTGAGTTAACCTCGTTTAATCTGTATCACTAACTTTCCCAAGGCAGACGAACTTAGAGTGGTTACAATCATCCGGGTTTAAATCG